ACCCCAGCCCCGGAGCGGGGGGCTCGTCGGCAGGTCCCTGACGGGAGAAGGCGATTCCTGGCAATTCCCGGCAATTCCCGGCACCCTCTAATCTCCGTTTAAAATCCAGATCGTGGGTTTCTATGGCAACGGGGCCGACACGGAGAAGATGCTGCGGGGGGCCGGGGGTGGGCTGGGGCCGGGGGAGGTGGGGAGGGGGCTTCCTCCGCCCGCCCAGCCGCTCACCCGCCTCATTAGCATCTCATCAGCATTTCATTAGGCATTCCACCTCATTAGGGAATCCTCGCTGGGAAATTCTTTTTTCGGAGCAACTCAGTTAGTGGGTCAGCGGGGAAGGGGGGCGAGGGAGCACCTGCAGGGCACCGTGTCACCGCTGTCACCGCTGTCACCGCTGCCACTGGACATGGCCACGCCACGGCCACCGAATCCTCCAACGGGGCCACAAAATCCCCCTGAAGGCACTGAGCGGGGGTCATGGGGCGGGAGCAGCCCGGGATGCTCCAGGTGACCTTGGGCAAGGACACTGTGCCCGCAAAGGAAGGGCAGGGCCCCGGCAGTGTCGCCACACCGATGTCCCCGAGCGCTTCCTGGGGCTGGGGTATAATTAGCTCCCGGCTCTCATTAGGGCTGGCCCGGAGATGGTGATTTAAAAGACACATGTCCGGCCACGGGAGCCGCTGGGCTCGGGGCCCTGGCCAGCATCCTCCATCCCCATGGGGCCACCACTGCCCCAGGGATGAGGACATCGCAGGCGGGGGGGGGTCTCGGTGCTGGTGGGGGTCCGGGTGGGCGTGATGGGGTTCGGGGTACAGCCGTGGGTCCCGACTCTTTCCCGTCCGTCCCCCCCTCCAGATCCGGAGGCGCCGACCAACTCCTGCCAACCTGGTCCTGAGCAGCGACCAGTCGTCCCCAGGTGGGTCCTTGCGCGTGTCACCCTGTCACCCCGGGCTGCAGCCCACCCGGGGGTGCTCAGGGACCCCCATATATGATGCTCAGGGACCCCCATATATGATGCTGAGGTCCACAGCACACTGGTTGCAGCGGGACGCATCCTGCACCCTGCCACAACAGCACCCTGTGCCCTGTGTCCCCCACCCTGGGACTGTCCCTATGTGTCACCCAGCCCGGCTCAGCCCCTGCCCTCCCTGCTCCAGGGCTGCGTTTCCAGGATCCGGCCCCAGGTCTCGCTCAGCCCATCCATCTCTGGGAGCAGCAGCTGCCCGTGACACTGTGCCAGGGACACTGGGGACAACGGCACGGGGCCACCCCTGCTGGCACAGGGAGCAGGGGACACCAGCTGTGACATTTAAGAGCTTCTCGGTCACTGGCCCAACCAGGCATGTGGCCTTTGGGGACGGGGTCTGACCCGCCTGGCAGCTGTGTCACGGCCTCCCTGCCCCCCCCCCCCCCCGCGGGGGGGGGGTTTTTTTTTCCCCCGCTTTGGGGACACCCCGGTGGCTGGGGGACTCTGTCTCCAAGTGCCACCTCCAAACCCTGTGCCCACTCGGGGCAGCAGGCTCCGGCTGCGAATAAACCACCGCCACAGGGTTGAGCATCATCCCGGGTGGGGGGGTGTCAGGATGCTGCCAGGGGGGCTGCCAGCCTGGTGGGGACAGCAGGGGACGGGATGCTGGTTCCCGTGCTGGTTCATGTGGGGGGCATGGCGGTGCTGGGGCGGGGGGAGCGGGACTGTCCCAATGGCACCCACAGCCACGCCGAGCACCCATGGGTGATGGACAGACTCAGTGGGGCCGGGTTCACATTGGGGGTGCAGGATGGGGCCCAGCACCCCACTCTCGCCGCTGACCTCTGGTCCTTCTGCCCCCCACACCCCCCTGGCTGTCCCCCCCAGAGATTGACGAGGACCGACTGCCCAACCCCCTGCTGAAGGTAGGTGCTGCTGCCATGGTGGGGGGCTGCGGGGAAGCCCCCAGCCCCTCGGGGTACCCCCAGGGTGCCCCCCACTCATGCAACTCCCCTTCCCTCGCAGTCGGGTCTGGCCATGTCACCCAGGCAGAGGAAGAAGGTTTCCCGCACCACCCCGACCATGAAAGGTATTTTGGGAGGGGGTGGGCAACAGGGGGTGACGGTCCCCGTTCCCCCCCCTCCCGGTGACGAGCAGGTGGGATGCCACCACCTTTGCGCTGGCCTTGGACCTGCTCAGCCGTGCCCAGGTCAGGAGTGTGGCTGTGCCCGTGGGCACACGGGGTCCAGCCGTGGCAAATGCCACCAGAGGGGACAGGAGGCCACCAAACTTGCCGGGCTACATCTCCCCGGTGTCACCGGGAGCGTGGGGACGGTCACCGCGTCGTCGTCCCCCCCCCACCACCACCACCCCAGCACCGCTCCCTGCCTGGCAGAGCTGCAGATGATGGTGGAGCATCACCTGTGCAAGCAGGCGCAGGGCGAGGAGGAAGAGGAGGCAGCCGCCGCCGGCCAGGAGCGTGGCCCTGGCCGCTGCCACCACAGTGACACCGAGCACAGCCACAGTCCCGGTGGCACCTGCCCGCTGGCCACGCACGAGGGTGGCCCCGGTCCCGGCGAGCGTGAGTACCTCTCCTTCCCAACCCCGGGAGCCTCCGCGCATCCAGAATTGGGGGGGGGGTGGGGGTGCTGGGATGGTTTGTGGGGTGCAGCGGAGGTGGGGGAGGGGGCTGAGCTCACCCCCTGCCCCACGGCACCTGCAGGGACCCACGGAGACGAGCGGCAAAGCCTGGCCGAGGAGGGCACCCATATAGCACCGAAGGAGGCCAGTGGCAAGGGTGCTGCCAGCAGCCAGTAGGTATGTACTGGGGCACTGGGGGTTAACTGGGACGCTGTACTGGGGTACTGGGACACTCTGCTGGGGCACTGGGGGGCTACTGGGACACTGGGGGTGTACAGGGACACTCTGCTGGAGCACTGGGGAGGTACTGGGACACTGTACGGGGGTACTAGGACACTGTACTGGGGCACTGCGGGGGTACTGGGGGTGTACAGGGATACTCTGCTGGGACACTGCGGGGGATACTGGGCACTGGGGAAGGTACTGGGACACTATGGAGGTATCCTGGGCAGCATGCCAGGGAAGGGGACAGTGACACGGGGCGAGGGTGGCACCGGGGACGTGGCTCTGGTATTGCTGGGGAAGGGGCAGGGATGGGGGGGTCTTCGATCGCGGGGTCCCCGTCCCCCAGCGCGGCTCCCCTCTGTCCCCAGGTGCTAGCGGGCGGCAGGAACGAGGCCACGGCCGGGCCAAAGGAGCCAAACGCTGCATTATTTTTTTTATCTGATCGTTTTCTAAGATTTCGACGGCTGCTTTGGGGCTTCCGGAGGATTTTTTTTTTTTTTACTGCCGCGGGCAGGTCCCCCCTGGGGGGGGCTCTGGGGACGCTGGCAAGCCGGGCTGCCCACCCTGTCCCCTCGCCCTTCCCAGGTCCCCAGGGCAGGTGACGCTGGGGACACCGAGCAGCACCCCTGCAGCACGGCTTGTGCCACCCCCCCCCTCACTGCCAGCCCCGGGGTGTCCCCAGGGCCCCCCCCCAGCCACCCCGCTGTCACCACCACCACCACCCCCCCCAGGCTGGGGGACATGCGGCCCCGCTGCTCCCAGGGACACGGGGCGCTGCACCCTTCCCATGCCCACGCGTGTGTGCATGCACACGCTGGTAGGTGTGCACGCTTGCACACGTGTGGCCGGGGGGTGCACATGCATGCACCCGCGGGGGAAACCCGGGCGTTTGCACGCACACACGTGTGCACATACGGACACGGGGGGGGGGCAAGCCCGCGCACTTTGCACATGTGATTTGCATGCACGCCCATGTGCGTACACACAGAGCACGCGTGCACACACCTGGGCGGGCGCGGGGACCCCCCCGCTTCAGCCGGTATTAAAGGGATCCCTTCTCCCTGCCGCCTCCGCCTTGCCTTTGCGCCGGGGGGGGGGGGGCCCGGGCCCCCCCCCTTTGGGTGCTGGGGGGCAGCACCCGCCTCCGGGCTTCAGCTCCCGCCCCCTCAGGGGTCCAAGCCAGCTGTGCCACCCCCTCTGTCCCCCTCCAGCTGTCCCCAGGCCCCAGCCACTGTCCCCCCCAGGAGGGCATCCTGGCCCCCCCATCACACCCCCAGCACTGGGATCAAGCCAGGTCCCCCGGGGTGAGGGTGCAGGAGCCGGGCTGGTGGTGGTGTACGGTTTATTAATTGCTCGTTAGCGGCGACGCTTGGTTTCACATGCGTGTGTGGGTGGGCGCGAGGTGTAGCTCTGCCAGCGGTGACCGAGTGGGGACACGACGCGTTACCGCAGGGTAGAAAAGTACAAACACAGACGGGCCGTGCCACGGCGGCTGGGCGATGGACACAGCAGGGCAGGGCGGCCGGAGCTGGGATGCCGGAGCAGGAGGATGCCGGAGCTGGAAGATGCTCGAGGCATGCTGGAGCCAAGATGCCGGAGGATGCTCGAGGCACACCAGAACCAAGATGCCGGAGGATGCTCGAGGCACGCTGGAGCCAGGGATGCCGGAGGACGCTCGAGGCACGCCAGAGCTGGGATGCCGGAGGATGCACAAGGCACACCAGAACCGAGATGCTGGAGGATGCTCGAGGCACACCGGGAGCTGGGATGCCAGAGGATGCTCAAGGCACAGCGGAGCTGGGATGCCGGAGGCACAGCAAAGCCAGAGCAAGCAGGGGAGGGATACTGGGGAGCATGCTGGAACTGAAGGATGCTGGAGACACGCTGGAGCCAGCGCTGCTGGAAGCACACCGGAGCCAGAAGGCGCTAGAGGCACCCTGGAGCTGGGGGATGCCGGAGCCAGGGGCTGGCCCAATTCTGCCCTCCTGCTGTGCCCCAGGCCCAGCACCCACCGCTACTCCAGCCCCACACATACTGCCCCATCACCGCCTCGCTGGCCCCCCCCCGGCCCCCAGCTCCCAGCCTTGCCCACGCTGCGTAGGGCAGGACCCCAAGGGGAACCTCTGAGGTGCCGTTGCGGCCAGCGGACCTGGGGACAGGACCTACAGGGACGTGTCCCCAGCCCGGCTGACATAGAGACACATATCCCGCGTAAGGGATGCTTGGGACAGGTGGGGGGGGCACAGGGGGACATTAAGGGCCACCCATCACGGTGTCACCGGACAGCCCCAGCAGGCACAGAGGGGACTGTGGTGCTCTCAGGGTGACAGCGTGTCTGACGTGGCTTCTCCGTCCCTCGGTCCCCTGCTATCCCCAGGGCCACCATCATCGTCCCCAGCCCCCCCACCTCCCCCAGCTCCCCAGTGGGGCAAAAAGAAGCTTTTTTAAAAAGCCGTAAGGACAAAACCCAGTCGGGGGAGGCGCCGGGCAGCCGCTGGCGTGGCAGTGAGAGGAGCGGCGTCACCGTCACCCGTGGCCCAAGGCCACACGGCTCGGTGGCCGATTTGGCACAGGCACCCGGAGCTGGCCGGGCTGGGGGGCTGCCGGCCCCGGGGATGCTCCTGGCGCGGAGGTTGGCACTGATCCTTCTGCGGCCCCGGGCGGCTCCTTCCCTGCAAATGGTGCTGAACTCGATGGCGTCGAAGACTTTGGGCGAGACGGCGTCACTCGGCCAGACGAGGACCTGCTGTCGGGAGGGACGGTCACGGCAATGCCACCAATCCCTACACACACACACACCTTCTACAGTTTGCCCCCCCCCCCCAGGCCTCCCCTGTGCCCACCTCGCTCCTCCCGGTGCTATTCCACGTCCCCATTCTGCCTGTGCCGGCTGGGGGCCGCGGGCGACTGTTCCTCGCAGGGCGACAGCTCCTCGATGGACGCCTGGTTGGTGATGCCTGCGGCGGGACGTGGGGCTGGGGGGGTCACTCCAACCACCCACGGGGGCTGCGACCCCCTGCCCAACTCATCTCCCCACCCGAGATGGTCACCCACCCTGTGCTTGGGCCACCTCCCCACCCAGGGATGCTCGGCACAGACCTGGTCCCACGTATCCCCGGGATGGTCCCCATCCCCTCCCCGACGGCTGTGGTGGCCGTCCCCTACCGCTGGCCGCCCGCTCCTTCCACTTCTGCTTGTTCTCCTGGATGTACTTGGTCCAGGTGGAGCGGAAGCCAGCCAGGTCGGCTTTGATATCCCCCAGCTCCAGGTGCTCGTCCAGGGACGGCTGCCGCCACTGCGAGCTGTAGGGATGGGGACAGCTGAGAGCAAGGCAGAGCCACCACTGCCACCACCCAGGTCCCAAAATAAGTGGCTGTCCCCCACCCCCAGGCTGAACCCCACCACCTCCCCGTGGGGAAGGGGAAACTGAGGCAGGCTGGCGCTGCTGACCTGGCCTGCTGGCCGGCCACCGGATTGCCCTTGGCTTTGGTGCCGTCCTCGGCGTTGGGCAGCACCATCTTCTCAGCCACATCGGTCAGCACGGAGAAGGTGGGCTCCACGATGAAGTCGATGAAGCCTGCGGTGGGGAAGAGACACGGAGTCAATGGGGACACCCCCTCCTGCCCATGGCGAGGCTGGTGGCTGGGGACAGGGTGGGGATGGAGACCCACCACCACCACTCACCAATCTGGGACTGGGCCACCAGCGTGGACGTGCGGTCGCAGAGGGGCGAGAAGGGCAGCCCCAGCTCAGCCTCCTTGTCCCCCTGGCAAGGCAAGGGAGACATGTCCCCAGGGGGTGGTCCCCACGTCCCACCACCCATCCTGGGGGATGCATGCGCCCTACCTGCCTGAAGAACTCCTCCATCAGGGCTTTGGTCCAGCGGCTGTGCACCGACCACTGCTTGGTGGGGTGGCTGATGTCGGCCGCGTGCAGCAGCAGCGACAGCACCTTGGACTTATCAATCCTGGGGAGGGGACCCCGCTGCTGAGGTTTGTCCCCAAAACCTCTGGGGGACACACACACCCCCCCCCCACAACCCGGGTGGGCACCCGCACTCACCTCTCCAGCTGCTGCAGGGACGTCTTCATGGACTTCACCTGCTGGAAGTGGCAGGACATGTCGGTGGCCAGGACCATCTCGATCACCAGCGCCCGCAGCTCCCTGCGCCCCGGGGAAGGGGGAAATTGCTGTCAGGGTCCCGCGTCCCAGCTGGGGACAGTCCCAGGGACAGGGACGGGGACCTTACACAAACTCGTCCTTGGTGAGATTGACAAAGATGTTCATCTCATCGTCCTGCATCATGCGGAAGACGGCGCTAATGTGGTGGTTCTCCAGCACCGAGCGGTCATTGTAGAGGATGGCGCAGTCCGACCTGGGGACGCAGGGGACGGTGGGACCCTGGCACGGTGGCGGGCGGGCTGACCCCCGCCCCAGGGAGAGGGATGTCCCCAGGGTGCCAGCACAGCTGTATCCCAGCTGTGTCAGTGGCCCTGGGTGTCCCCAGGGTGCCAGCACATCTGCATCCTGGCCGTATCGCTGGCACCAAGAGTCCCCAAGGTGCCAGCACATCTGTATTCCAGCTGTATCAATAGTCCCAGGTGTCCTCAGGGTGCCAGCACATCTGTATCCCAGCCATCTAGGTGACACTGGGTGTCCCCAGGGTGCTATTCAGTCCTTTCCATGCCCCACCGTGTCCCAAGTGTCCCCACAACAGGTCCCCAGCCCTGCCTGCTCATGCTGTGCCATGCCACCCACACCATGCCACCCGTGCCATGCCATGCCATGTCACCCGCGCCGTGCCACCCGCCCTCACTTGGTCTGGATGTGGAAGCTGTTGGTGGTGCCCGTGTGCTCGTAGTCGTGGATGGCGGCAGCGAAGATGATGGCCAGGACCTCGATCTCCGTCAGGTAGTGCTGGGGGGACGCTGGCGTCAGGGGGACGGGGACCG